CCCTGGACAAAATGAGCACTCAACCTTTGCACTGCCCCACTTCAAGGGTTAATTTTGTAACTGCCCAGGGTTTCTTCTTTAACAGTGGCAACACTATATACAGTGAGGCAAGTTTGTCACAACTGGAGCAAACAGAATCTGGAGCAGTTGCCCACGGCAACCAATCAGCATCTCTCTTTGCTCAGGTATGATTTGAAAATGAGAGCGAGAAGCTGATTGGTTGCCGTGCAAACCTGCTCCAGTTTCCATCAATTCCCCCCAATAACAGAAGGACATGCTGTGTGAACAAGCCATATATAACGATGGTGAAACTAGGCAATAATGCCAAATAAACACTCTTTAGAGCCCAACTATGCTACTATCCTAGATTTCTGTTTTTTTTTTCATTTGTATGTATCCCAATGAGACCAGTTCTTGTTGTCACATGACCTTTATTTTGCTGTACTCAATACATCTGTTCTCAGTGATCAGTGGTCTATAGAAGCCTTTACAGTGGAAGTTGGGATCATGCTGGGAGATGATCTGGTTGTGTGGGTGGTCAGATTGAAGAGTTTTTTCCTCTCAAGCTGCTGATTGATTGAAGCACTTTTCAGGAATAACCTTATTTGCATTGTTGTGGCCGCATCCACCACACACACACACACACCCCTATTGTTAGGTGTGGGGGATTAATTGGGGGCACAGCTGTCCATTCAGGACTAACAGCATTTGCATCGATTTTAAAGAGTAGATTACCAATTGTAAAAGCAAGGCCTTGTGGTTCATATGATAAAGAGAACCGTTGCATTAGGACTGTTATCACTTGCACATGAAATTTGAAGGGTGAAGAGCGCACACACCCAAGTCTGTTTGTTGACGGGGGATGTCGCCTGTGTGTGCGCTCACTATCTACTACTCCCTTGCTTTCCTGTGGAGAGAGGTTGTGTGTTCATTTGTAACTGTTAACATAACACCTCAGGAATGCGGCGTGTCTGTGTTATGAGCTATCATTGAAACCTTCCTGACCTAGGAAGATCACTTACATCCTGCCGGTGGTCATGATCATTTAGAGGTCACATGATCGCTCATTGTCACACAAGTAGATAGCACATGAGGTATGAGGTGAAAAGTGTGTATTTTACCAGTGACTCGGGTCAGCCATCATTTACTATTTTGGACCTTCTGGCATATTGATAGGTCTTCAAGTTTTTGTGTGTGTGTGTGTGTGTGTGTGTGTGTGTGTGTGTGTGTGTGTGTGTGCTCTTTGTAAAACGAGGAAAGTGTCCTTGTTGCCCATAGTAAGCCCTTAGATTTCTGATTTTAGTGTCTTATCATGCTATGGCTGGACTTTGGTTGGTGTGAGGCGTTTAGTCTAGGG